GACGAGTAAAGTTCAGCTGTTTCGAGCGGTCATCTGGCCGCTACCTGCTTGCCCGTCCCTAGATACCCCCACTAGGGTCTCAGCCACCCCTCCCACCACGTTCTTTCGGCTATCTCCGTTTTCTTTCGTATAGCTTTCCTCCCGCCAACCTCAAAGAAGGTTTGGGTCGCATTGTCGTTCGTCACTCACCACCCACATTCCGTCGCAATCTCTCAGCTACTCCGCTTCACCACTTCTTGATAGGCATCCTGGCGGTTTGGCTGACCCTGACTTATTAACTGCAGCGGTGCGCACACGTATTGCTAACAACATGTATTGTTATGGACATTTCATTCTTATTTGTTCTTTTCTCTTTCCAACTTTGTTTCAAATTTGCTTCGTTTCTTCCTCTCTCTTTATTTTGTTGGTCGGTCGACTACGTTGATCGGCTTTTTGCTATTGAAAGCACATTAAGACTTCATGGATTTTCAATATCATCATTTGATCTTCCGGAATTGCTTCCAATTAACCTGAATCTTCAAGGGTCAGAGCCTGACTCTCCTTCCCCTAAACCTATGATTCCATGATTTCTGCCGCTAACCCAGAGCAACATCAAATTATTTCTGAAATAATTAGTCTCATCCAAAATCCATCTTACACGTGTAATGCGATTTTCATTGATGGTCCAGGAGGATCGGGAAAAACTTTCGTTTAAGAATGTCTTACTGCGTATTGTACAAAGGAAAACTTAGACGTCATCTCCGTTGCTTAGACAGGTATCGCCGCATCGTTGCTACCTAACGGTCGGCCGGTTCATAGCAAATTCAAAATTCCTTCGGTTCTGAATGAGAATTCTGTGTCGAGTCTCACGGTTAGCTCAAGAGAGGCTGAGACTATTCGGAAAACAACGATCATTTTTTGGGGCGAAGCTCCCATGGTTATCACGCATGCTCTGGCATGCATCGACCGACTTCTTATTTAGAGAATGGGTAATGATATCCCTTTTCGAGGAAAAATTATCGTCTAGGGTGGTGATTTTAGACAGGTTTTACCCGTTGTTCCGCATGCTTCTCGCCAAACATTGGTGCAAAATGCAATCAAATTCTCACCACTTTGACCTCTTTTCAAAATCAGAAAACTTACTCAAAATATGAGAACTTTGCAAGACGAAGCGGAGTTTGCAAAATTTTAACTCGAAATAGGTGATGGTGTTTACCTTTCTGCTAAAAAAGGCCATGCCGGAATTCATTGATTTACCGACAAGCAGTATTACTGAAACTGATATTATTACTGAAATTTATGGAAAAGATAGCTTCCTCATGTTGGAACGTAGATTTCACAAACTGCGCAATTCTGGCCCCTAAAAATAAGCATTGCAATGAAATTAACGACAAGGTTGTTGAAGTTCTTTCAGGTGTCTCTAAAACGTACTTCAGTGTTAACAGGCTCATTGTAGAGGAAGAGGGAGAGGCTCTCAATTTTCCCCTCGAATTCTTGGACAGTCTTAATCTTAGTGGCTTACCACCGCATAAACTCACACTTTTGGAGGGGGTTTTTGTCATGCTTTTAAGAAACCTCAACGTTTCTAAAGGTTTATCGAATGGTACCCGATTGATCGTCTGGAAACGTTATGAAAATTGTCTTGATTTGCAGGTCATTTCCGGCGAGAAGGCCGGTGAAAGAATTTCACTGCCAAGAATTGATTTGTCACCTGCAGACTCCTCTCTCCCTTTCTCTTTTAAGAGGCGACAATTTCCAATTCGCATTGCGTTCTGCATGACCATCATCAAAGCTAAGGGTCAAACACTGAAGCGAGTCGGCATTTATTTACCCCAAACAGTTTTTGGCCATGGTAAACTATATGTTGCACTCTCACGAGCTAAATCGTACAAAAATTTTGATGTCCAAATTCTTCCCAAAGGCAACCGTACAAAAAACATCGTGCACAAAGAGGTGCTTCGATCTTTTATAAATCCCAAAAGCCTCATAGTCATTAGAAAATTATCAAAAAATAAAAATAAAAAAAAATTTAAACAGTAACAAAAAAAAAGAAAAATTAATAATGCGAGCTTTTTATAACATTTTTCGGTAGAATGGCAGTCTACACCCTGTAACGCAGAGAGGCAGTTAAATTCCTTGATCTTCTGCCGCAGAATCATCATCATTATTAAATAGATTCAACTAATCGCTCCGATTCCAAATAAGCTACTGCACCACCATTGCTAGCTGTGGAGGGTGCCCGTAGGGCGCCCGGAGCAGCTAGTCTATACTATAAGCTCCGAGACCTCCTAATTTTGCGAAACTGGTGACGCTTAGTTCCAGCGTTCTACCGGGCCGATTTTCATGATTTTTGCGGCAATCGACGGGCAATTGTCTCTAGATAAGCCAACTCTTTTCAGATTTTCAAAATATGGCCCAGGTTTTTTTATATTACGTGGTAAAGTTGCGAATTCTCCCATTTAAACAATGTAAATTTATACTTTTTGTCATAGTTCGTTTGAACGTTCTACCGGGCCGATTTCCATGATTTTTGCGTAAATCGACAGGTAATAGGCCCTAGATGAGCCCGCTGTAATCAGATTTTGGAAAAAGGACCCAGGTTTTTTTAAAATCACGTTATAAAAGTGAGTGAGTTTACAGAATGCTCCGGTACTGCTACCGCTATGCGCGGGAGGATGCGCAGTGGTCAAGGAGGTTGCGCAGTAGCTGTGTAGCCTGCGCATCAGCTCTACACTTATCTACACAAGATTCGCGCCAGTGTCCACACGTCGAGCGGTGGTCGAGTCGTCTAAGACGTCGGATGCGTCCATTTTGAACTCGGTGTGGGTTCGATCCCCGACCCACGATGTCTTAATGATTACATGTGACTATCACTGTGCATTGTTTTACTGCAATATTTCATCAAGCAGTCATTCCAAAACGCGTCCTTTTAATTTTAAAGTAATTTTAAGTAATGTTTAAAATTAAAGTATACCTCATATCGTAATTTTTTAGGGGAAAAATAAAACTAACACCGATAGGAGGGTAAAAATGGGGCCGCGAAGCGGCCCATTGATGGCGCGGAGCGCCTTCAGGGGGTTGGGCCGCGTAGCGGCCAGGGGGCGTAGCCCCCTAGTAGTTCCTATCGCTCGGCCTACACTTTATCGCCTGGCTGTTGCTTTTTCACCATCGATTATAAAAGGCTAAAGAAATTGTATTGAAATTCGTGTGCTTTGGAAATCATTAAGTTTGATACGGAACCACCTAAATATTTATAAAACACACGTTATATTTTCCTTTAATACATATTTTTTTTCATCAATTAAAACGAGAATAATCCATACAGGATGTGTAAACATTTCAAAATCATGAGTTGAATAACGCTGACTCCGCCAGATTGAATATTAGAGCCTAGCACAAAGCGGAGCGGCGACGCACTGGCGCCTACAAACCTAACAGGGATACTTCACGCGTTGCGCAACGCGTGAAGTATCCCTGTTAGGTTTGTAGGCGCCAATGCGCGTTTTGCGCTGGCTGCCCGCCTGTCGCACCGCAGCGTGCCACGGCGCTTGAAGCAACTATTTCACACCAGAGGTATTGCACAGTATCATTCGAAACTGAAGGCGCTCTAATATATTAGGAATGGCAGGCATCCATCAAAACTACGGAGCTTTCCTCGCAAAATAAATCAAGATACTACGGCCCAAAAAGAAAGCAGTGGTCCGAAAACTCACTAAGTCCTAGCCTTCGCAATTATTGACGTTTAGCATAAATTGTATCGCCTGGCTGTGGGTTGCTTAATCGCCATCGGCTATAAAAGGCGATAAGAAATTGTGTAGCCGGCTACAGAAGCTATTGAAAATCTTACAGCCGGCCGTCGGTCTATGGTATTTTGGAACACAGATTCTACTGCCAATTTTTACCAGGAAAGAAGGGTCGATCGGCGCTGTGCGTGCATCTTAGATGGATTTTAAGGCATGCCTTTGATTTAAATGCTTTTGAGCACTAGCCACAAGAGAAGGGCCGGTTTTCACTATGCACTGTTAATACATGTTTATTCAAATAACCTTTCAAACTGAATGTGCGTGGGCACTGATCGCAGGAGAAGGGTCGATCGGCGCTGTGCATGCATCTTAGGTGGAGTTTAAGGCATTCCTTTAATTTAAATGCTTTTGAGCACTGGCCACAAGAGAAGGGCCGGTTTTCACTGTGCACTGTTAAAACATGATTTTTTAAATAACTTTTCAAACTGAATGTGCGTGGGCACTGATCGCAGGAGAACGGCCGATCGGCGCTACGTACGCACGTTAGATGTTCTCTAAGTTGACTCTTTGTTCCGAATTTTAGTGAGCAATGATCACACGGAAAGAGCCGTTCTTCACTGTGCCTTGCTAATATATGCCTCCTTAAATTACTCTTCAAATTGAATTTGCGGGAGCAATGAGCGCAGGTGAAGGGTTGATCGGCACTATGTACGCATTGGATATGCATTGCGAGTCCATCTTTAGATTTGAATGCTTTTGAACACTGACCACAAGAGAAGGGCCGGTCTTCACTGTGCACTTCTAGCACGTGCCTGCGTACTTTACCCTTCGATTTGAAATTGCGTGAGCACTGACCACAGGAGAAGGGTCGGTCGGCGCTGTGTGCGCGCCTCAGATGAGCTGTAAGTTGTTCTTTTAATTTGAATGTTCTTGGGCACTGATCACACGAGATGGGCCGGTCTTCTCTGTGCTTATATAGTACATGCCTTTTCAGATTAAACTTTACGTTGAATTTGCGTGAGCAATGATCGCAGGAGAAGGGTCGATCGGCACTGTGTACGCACTTAAGATGCCTTCTAAGTTCACTCTTATTTCTACACTTTAGTGAGCAACGATTACACGGAAAGGGGCGAGAACCACTGTGCACGTCTTGGATATGAACCTTTAAACTACCTTTAAATTTGAATGTTCTTGAGCATAGATCGCATGTAAGGGGTCGTTCATTACTATGGACGGAAATAACATGGTTTCGTAAATTCTGTTTCGCTTTAAATTTACGGGAACATTGAGTGCACGCGAAGTTCCGATCATTGCTGCGGATGTGAATAATGCGGTTGCATAAATTATGCTTAGATTCGAAAGGTGATGAGCTCTGGCTACACGATGGTCGTTCACTATCATGGGAGTTTCTGAGGTGTGCTTGTAGATAAACATTCGATTTGAATCGGACGGAGCACTTCTCACAGAAGAATATTTCATCTCCGTTGTGGCGACGAATGACATGCCTTCGAAGAGCTGCCCGCGATGTGAATTTTCTTGAGCACTCGACACACGAAAATGGTCGATCCTCGTCCATGTGCATCACTGGTGAGCTTACGGGAGGTTTTGATTGAACTTGTGGCGAGTATTCACTTGAAGGGGAGAGTTGATCACTGGTGTGGGGCCGTGAATACTGGACATTTGCAGAGATTTGAGCATCACTGTTTGTATGCCTGTCAGCGGTTTCCGACTTCAACTTCCTCTCGTCTGGTGGATATTTATTTTGGCGGCTGAGGTGCGTCAAAACTGTACTCGCATTACTGGGAGAATTTAAATCCCTTGTAGGAGCAGATTTTTCCGGAGTTGGAACACGAATATTTTCTTTAATCGGAGTAGAAGTGAATGTTTCTGGATCCTTCGTTTTGGACGTTTTACGTTTGTTTTTTGACAAAAACTTTGTATTCATGGACAGTCTGTCAATTCCTTGGTTTTCAGGGACATGATTGTGGACGAAAACATGATCCAAACCTGAACCTCCCTGTAACAAAACAAAACAGAACGGTTACACAGTGCTTGGTTGGTATACCTCAAATGCCGTGGGTATAATTTTTTAAGAAAAACCACGGAACTAGAATTAACGTAATCCATCGATGTCTTTTTGTTCTTGTTAGAAGTGTTAATAGAAAGCATTATGCGCGGATACTACTAGTAAATGCTATGATTTATAAAACAGGAATTAATGGCATTTTCAATTGTTTTATTCAAAAATAAAAAAAAAAGGAACCATGATGCCTACGAATTTTAAATCGGTAGCAGTTTGAGAATGCATTAGAAAGAGGGGAATACTGTATGTCTCTGCCTTTTTAGACGTGGTACAGGCATTCGACAGGGCCTCCCATGAAAAATTAAAAAGTATGCTGGTTGCCCTTTTGTCAGCTTGTCATGATAAATTTATTAATTCTTATTTTTCGGACAGATCCTTAAGGGTGCGGGTCGGGTTGACTATCTCCGAAACCAAATTCACCAAAGGCGTGGCGTGAATTGCGATGTATCGATTGTTATGCCATTTAAACCTATGGTAAAGAATCGATTATTAAGGCGTTCGCTGCGAACACTCTGTTTATCGATCCTTTTCCATCAGTGGCGTGGCATGAATTGCGATATATCGATTGTTATGCCATTTAAACCTATGGTAAAGAATCGATTATTAAGGCGTTCGCTGCGAACACTCAGTTTATCGATCCTTTTCCATAGGTTTAAATGCCATACAAATCGATAAATCGCAAAGCACACCACGCCACTGAAATCACTCTTGCTGGGGTCACAGGGACCAGTATTAGGACCCTTATGGTGTCTGTTATTTATTCACTTCTGACACTCGTTCCTGATCACTAGACTTATAAACCGTATCATCGGCTTTACCAAGTATAGAATTCCTGACAAGCTCAGGAACCTGAACCTGAACCTGTCAGGAAATCTATACTTGGTAAGGCCGATGATACGGTTTACACGTCTAGTGATCAGGAACGAGAGAGAGCAACTGTTGAGCTCGAAGAAAATCTTCGAAGGGTAGTAGAATGGACAATCGAAAAGGACATTAATCTAAACTGTGATAAAACCATATATCGACGGTGAAACTACCAAACCACGTATCTCGGTTTGCGACGTCGCAGACTTCCTGTCATACTTTATTTTTTAAATGAAAAACTACTTAACGTCTAGTCTTGAAAATTTCTGTGATTTTTTCTCTTTGTGCGGAGAAAATTCTGTGAAAATTTCAAGGAATGTTATTGATTCGGTCGACTTCAAAAAAATAAAATGCGAGCGTAGATTTTTAAACACCGCAAACGAGATACGTGGTTTTGTAGTTTCACCGTCGATATGTATGTAGGTCACTTTATAAAGCACTCCCTAGCGCTCTACGAGCTACGACACGAAACCTCAACTGCCACCTCGAGTTAGGAGTCAAATCATAACCCATCGGACATCGAGCATCTTGACACTTTTAACAAGGACCTTCTTTGGCAACCTGTCCCCTGCCATTCTCTGAACATGACCATACCAAACGAGTTGTTTCGTTATAATGTTATGCACGATGGTCTGTTTGGCATCCATGATCTCCCGCACCGTCAAACCGTAAAAGTACATATATACAAAGTATTTTCCAACCGTAGCATAAAAGAACTAGATATTATGTTTAATCAAGTATTGTGATGACCCTGAGGAGACGCCCAATTTTCCCAGACAATTCATCATTACAGGGGGAAATTGGCAACGTCAGGAGGAGCACCGACTTTAGGAAAAATGCTGATGTCCGCTGGGAAACGACGAATTGTCTGGGAAAATTGGGCGTCTCCTCACAGTATTATTAAAATGACCCAATATCGTCGACTACCTAGGATTAACTATATTTAGACACTAAAACTAAATATAAACAACACATCAAGATCAAAAGAGACGAATGTGCTTTCAAGTTAAAAACAATTAAATTGGCCAATTGGACGAAAATCCGACTTAAGTATTGATAACAAGTTATTATTGCAGAAAAAAATCATCCACCCAACGTGGCGGCAATCACAATCATCCGGTCAACACAAATTCGGCGAAATCGAAAGCCTGAATGCTAAATTCTGAGCGTTCCTTTCGATACTTAGACAGTTTCAAAGGATTTAAAAGTAAGAAGTTTGAATGATACATCAATAAAAATTAGTAATGCTCCCACAAGAAAAGCATTGTTTTCGACATTTCTGGTTTTCGCGGCAGGAATACCTACTGACGTCACGATCCAATGGACGGGGGCGACTCTAAAGGCCTAGATATAGATACACCTTCTTTATAGATACACGCGGTGATGAGTGAAAGACGAAAGCCAACGGAGAGCCTTGATTTCGATCCATGACGTCGATATATCGAAATCAAGGCTCTCCATTGGCTTCCGTCTTTCACTCGCGGCGATTAATCGCCGAACAGTGGATGGAGTCAATAGGAGAGGTCGGACATGATTTGGAAACTTTAAACGTTTATAACTCCGTTCATACGAAACTTTGAGGTTTTAAAAGTGGTTCCATTGGTTTTCTCGTGAAACCTTCTCGAAGCACTCCTTAAAATGTAAAATATGACGGAAAACACATCAAAATTTGGAGGTTTTTTTAAAAAATTTCATGTCCGACCTCTCTAATTGACTCGATCCACCGTGCGCCGTGAGTATCTTGGTCTTGAGCGGGGTAATCTCGTCGCTCCTCTGACGTAAGGGTGTATCTCGATTTTTGCATGAGCCCGGCTCTGCATATAACGCCATGCTTTCTGGGGCTCATAAGTAAATTGAGATACGCCCTTACGTCAGAGGAGCGACGATCTGTGCAATGACTGACCTATATGGATTCGAGTCCCTTCATACCCAGAGTTACGACAACTCACTTTTGGTTGGGCTGAAAAAGGGTCTAAAAAAATCCAATCCTGATTGGTTCTCGCTCATGGAGTCACAAACGAGCGCACCAAGATGGCGGTGGCTCGAATGTGAACAAAAATAATGAAAATATTACCTAATTGTGGTTTATCAAGAGTAAATTGTTATTTCCATCGGTCCAAAATGAAAATAGATTAAGAAATCATTCACAAACCAATCTCATTTTCTTTTTAATTTATCAATTTGTTGATGTTGTGTGACAGACATCGCAGGATTCCTGATCCTTATCCCTCAATATCGTTCGTTTGGGTGCACTCGTTTGTGCCTCCATGGCCGGCCAAGGCCGGCTGCCAGTCAGCTGATAATCGAGGTGTCTTAACTCTGGGTATGAAGGGACTCTAACCCAAGTAGCAGAGGTTGCAACAACTTGAAACAAAATCGTTTGATTCTTGCAACTAATAGATTGATGTGCAGATTGCCTACTCTCTCCCCGGGAGGAGCTATCATTGTTGGAACTAGTTGCAATTGAGTTGAGACATGTTTTAACTTCAAAGTATTGCTGGTTGCCTATCTTTAGATTTTAAACAACTTTGGTTCGGCGATTTTGCAATCTCAGCAGGTTGCAACTTTGTCTTCCGATCAGATCGTCAAAAATCGACCAAAAGACTTATCGACCAAAAGTTGACCGAAAGTTGCAACTTTGTTGCAACAAATACCAACATTGTTTCAACTTGTTGCAACTTTTACATTGAAAAATGCTACTTGGGAATATGGATCTGATCTTGCGCCGTTCTGACGGCGTGGCTTAACTGTATCTGCCATCGGCGCGGGATTAACGCATTTCTGTAATAGCCATAGTTGGACTGCATTTTGCAATTTGGAGCTATAAATTCTGTCCCATCTGAAAAAATACATATGGGCATAGGGAAAATAATGGCACATACGTTGTTTTAAAACCGAGCCGGAATTTATAGTTCCTAATTGCAAAATGTAGTCCAGTTAGCACCTGCTTCTATGTGTCTCGAGGTTCATCCCAGCATGCATTAGCCATCACGGCAATTGAGTAGCGGCAATATTTGGATTTTCATGAATTAAATCTACCAATCGTTCAAATAAGCGTCTGATTTTGGCTTCTTCAGACGTAATGGATCCCCAATCGCAATTTCTCACCACATGCAATGTTTAGTATTGTTATTTTTATTTTCCTTCTTATATTCTTGAATTTTGAAGTAGGGTGCGATGGCCGCCTCTCAAGAGCAACCTTATGTTCACGCGCTTTTGATCGAGCTAGGACATTGTATATCAAAGACGCTCATTGGCTATAAGGTTGCAGCGGGAAATGAGAAACTTCCAGATTTGTGTCGTTGTAGCAAAGAAAAGTTTATTTGAGCTTTCGGTCAAATGAAAGAATACGGTTTTGAAGGAAAAATGTTCTCAAGGGTTTCCTCTGAGAGGTCGATTTGGTTTTTCGGGTGCAAGCATCAAGGTAGCGGTTCAAACACGAAAAAAACGGATTCGGCGAAAAAAAAAAAAAAAATTGAACCGTCCATTGAATAGCATTGGTTAAACAGTGGGCTGCACTATGGTAAATCCGAGCCATTTCAAAAAGCGAGCCCTACCGGCACGCTTAAAAAAAGGAGCAGTTTGGGTTGAGATAGGTGCCTCATTTGACAAATAAAATAAAAAAAAATTATTGCTTATACTTCGATTTGACGGAAGAGGGCAACCACTAAAGGGTAAATCTGGGGTAAAAGGATAAAAAGCGTAACTGAAAAAGCACGGAGCTAGATTAACTTCTCCCATCGATGTATTTTTGTTCTTGTTAGAAATATTGATAGAAAGCATTGCGCGGATACTAATACGGTGAAAGCTATGAATGATAAAACAGGAATTTACAGCATTTTCAATTGTTTTATTGAAAAATAAAAAATAAAAAACCAAGTTATACATTTTGAAGGGTTCCTCATTTGACAAATCAAAAAAATAAATAAATTATTTCCTGTACTTCGATTTGACGGAAGAGGGTGACTGAAAATGACTTTCATATATTTCACTTTTAGGTCACACTTATTTCATTCACAGTCATATCATCTCCAAAGAAAATCAACCCATCTGCCACTTCTGTAATTCATCACCTCTAACCATCAAACACATACTTATGGAATGCTCTTCCCTCCGATATCTCCAATCACAGATCTACTCCCCTGCAATCAACAGAAATACAAACCCTCTTGCATGCGATGAACCCAATATTACCACCAAAATTCTAAAACTCTTCACCTCTCTTAATTTAAAAATTTAAATTTTCGTTTATACTCCCATTTTCAAAATTATCTGTAAAGACGTTAATAGCCTGAGACGCTAAATGTCTTAAAATTATACTAACTAACTAACTAACTAACTGAACTCATGGTGTCACTTATCCAAAAAATATACAAATAAATATACATCAATAAAATAAATAAATAAAAAAAACCATAAAGACAATTATTGCGACAGAATTGTATACTTTGAGTGATTGGCATCACATCAGACACAGGCATCCTTCAAGGGAGAGAACTCAGACATATGGGTTTACGTTCTTGCAAACCGCGCGGTCTAAATGAGGCTGGCGCCTTTTAAATTGTGTCATGTGTCATAGAAGGCAGGAAATGTTTTAGAAGCTTCCAAAGAGAGAAGGAGCAATATTGGTTACCCAAAATATTTAAGCTAAGAAATTCATATTAAATGCTCAAAGAGCAGTTCCCAAGATTTTAGCTACAAAAGCGCCCGAACATACGTCGAACTATTCGGTATTTATGATGTAGTGTGAAGTTTACACTTAACGACAAGAAGGAAAGTAGATCGCCACATTCCCCGAAAGCACCTGATCGTGAGTAAGAAGCCGCACCAGGGAGAGGTGAGGAGTCACTGCGGGAATCATATCCGCTTCAGAACCGCCTCACATCGGATGTTTTGACAAAATCACCTTAAGTAACAATATCGCATTATGTCACCCTCTGACAAAAGGCGTATTTTACGTCATTTTTAGCCCCGCAGAGATTAGGCTTGCCTCCTGCCACTATGAGCAATGGTCCAAACAGGAACGTTTTATTTCTTTTAGTTCAAAAGATAAAGTCATTTTTCAGGTATGTGGGCCCAACCTGTATGTGATAGTAATTCACAAAAGAGCAAAATATGTGACCCAGCACTATTTTACCACCTTGTATTATATATTTAAGTGCCGATTTATTTGTGGAGCACTTAAATAATTTATTAAAGTAAGTCTTCTTATCCCTCTACTTAGTAGTGTATGCATTATTATTAGTTAGTTAAGTGATTAATTTTATAGGAGACATTCAGTATCTCAGGTTACTATTGTCTTTACAGAAAGTATAAAGTGTGAGTGAAATTACAAAAACTTAGATTCTTAACTTAACGGAGGGAAAACATTTCAAGATTTTTTTGGTGACATTGGGATCATGATAGATTAGTAGGTTTGTATTCCTGTGACTGTTGGATAGTAAATCTGAGAGCAGAGATCCTTGAGGGTAAAGCAGACCATAATCGCGCGTTTCACGGTTAGCGGTAATAAATTGCAGATTAATAAATGAATCCTCCTTTTCTCTTCATTCTAATACATTCAAGTGATTATTATATGCTTGGCATTATCGTTCGTAGCTGTAAGCTCGCTTGATATGAGCGACCATAGCTCCTAAGGACATAAGGGTCGCTTTCACAGCGCTCTCTGGCGCTCTGCGACACCTAACCGCCACATTCCCTCATTTCGTCTAAAACCTCCTGTCGCACCCTTCTACTTGGCGTCCCCTTCGTCTCCTCCCAGGAGGTACCCAATCAGGCATCTTTTTTGGCAGCCTCTCTTCCGTCATACAATTAACAGGGCCGTACCGAACCAGCTGTTTAACATGACGTCGAACGACGATGTCATTTTCGACTTCCATGATCTGACGCATTCTATCATTACGGACCCGATCTCTCTTGGAAATTCCTGCCGATCTCCTCCAGAAATCCATCTCCGTTGCTCTTAACGTACCCTGTGTCCGTTCCTAAAGCTGTCAAACTTTACATACGTGCGTTATTAAAATTTTAACTGCACCAATGTAAATTCTCCTCTTGTTTTCTTTGGAAATCCGCTGCTCCCAGAATATACCATTTAACATCGCTATAGCCTTCCTTCTAAGGAATTTATATCCAAGATAGCTTGATCCATCCTTCCATCCTGGAAAAACGGCACTTCCACGTATTTATAATCCGTGCAGCCCATGATCTGCCCCTGATCTGTAGCTCATTCTCTGCAACTCCCATTAACTCCGTCCCAGAGTCAATTTCTCAGGTTTGAAGGTACTGACTGCCAAAAAGACCATAGCTCCTTTCGTTTTAAATTTGCTCATGCACTGACTGCAAGCGAAGCTCTGATTCTCGTTGTGGACATTATGAATAAGACATCTTCATAAAAAATTTGATGCAAAAGTAGAGGAACACGGCTTGCACAAGAAAAATTGATCAATACTATGAACTCACTCCAGATGCAAGTTCAAAAGACTTTTTACCTTGAATCCGCCCAAGCATTAGTCACAAGAGGAGGTAAATCGGCGCTGTGAACGCACTTTAGATGTCTTGTAAGGTCACTCTTTGATTTAAATGATTTTGACTACTGGCCACATGAGGAGGAACGTTTTTCAGTGTGCACTATTAATACATGATTATTTAAATGATGTTTCAAACTGAATGTGCGTGAGCACTGATCGCAGGAGAAGGGTCAATCGGCGCTGTGTACGCACTTTAGATGCTTTGTAAGGTGGCTCTTTGATTTAAATGCTTTTGAACACTGGCTACAAGAGAAGGGCCGGTTTTCACTGTGCACTGTTAAAACATGATTATTTAAAGAATGTTTCAAACTGAATGTGCGTGAGCACTGATCGCAGGAGAAGGGTCGATCGGCGCTGTGTACGCACTTTAGATGCTTTGTAAGGTGCTTCTTTGATTTAAATGATTTTGAGCACTGGCTACAAGAGAAGGGCCGGTTTTCACTGTGCACTGTTAAAACATGATTATTTAAAGCATGTTTCAAACTGAATGTGCGTGAGCACTGATCGCAGGAGAAGGGTCGATCGGCGCTGTGTACGCACTTTAGATGCTTTGTAAGGTGGCTCTTTGATTTAAATGCTTTTGAACACTGGCTACAAGAGAAGGGCCGGTTTTCACTGTGCACTGTTAAAACATGATTATTTAAAGAATGTTTCGAACTGAATGTGCGTGAGCACTGATCGCAGGAGAAGGGTCGATCGGCGCTGTGCACGCACTTTAGATGTCTTGTAAGGTCACTCTTTGATTTAAATGCTTTTGAACACTGGCTACAAGAGAAGGGCCGGTTTTCACTGTGCACTGTTAAAACATGATTATTTAAAGCATGTTTCAAACTGAATGTGCGTGAGCACTGATCGCAGGAGAAGGGCCGGATTTCACTGTGCACTTTTGATACGTGGACCTTCAATGTGCCCTTGGAACTGAATGTGCGTGAGCACTGATCGCAGGAGAAGGGTCGATCGGCGCTGTGCACGCACTTTAGATGCAATGTAAGGTGAGCCTTTGATTTAAATGCTTTTGAGCACTGGCCACAAGAGAACGGCCGGTTTTTACTGTGCACTGTTAAAACATGATAATTTAAAGCATGTTTCAAACTAAATGTGCGTGAGCACTGATCGCAGGAGAAGGGTCGATCGGCGCTGTGCACGCACTTTAGATGCAATGTAAGGTGAGCCTTTGATTTAAATGCTTTTGAGCACTGGCCACAAGAGAACGGCCGGTTTTTACTGTGCACTGTTGATACGTGGACCTTCAATGTGCGCTTGGAACTGAATGTGCGTGAGCACTGATCGCAGGAGAAGGGTCGATCGGCGCTGTGCACGCACTTTAGATGCTTTGTAAGGTCCATCTTTAATTTAAATGCTTTTGAACACTGGCTACAAGAGAAGGGCCGGTTTTCACTGTGCACTGTTAAAACATGATAATTTAAAGCATGTTTCAAACTGAATGTGCGTGAGCACTGATTGCAGGAGAAGGGCCGGTTTTCACTGTGCACTGTTGATACGTGGACCTTCAATGTGTCCTTGAATTTAAATGTGCGTGAGCACTGATCGCAGGAGAAGGGTCGATCGGCGCTGTGCATGCACTTTAGATGCTTTGTAAGGTGAGCCTTTGTTTTAAATGCTTTTGAGCACTGGCCACAAGAGAAGGGCCGGTTTTCACTGTGCACTGTTGATACGTGGACCTTCAATGTGTCCTTGAATCTGAATTTGCGTGAGCACTGATCGCAGGAGAAGGGTCGATCGGCGCTGTGCACGCGCTTTAGATGCTTTCTAAGGTGATCCTTTGATTTAAATGATTTTGAGCACTGGCCACAAGAAAAGGGCCGTTCTTCACTGTGCGCTAATAATACATGCTTATTCAAATTACCCTTCAAATTGAATTTGCGTGAGCAATGATCGCAGGAGAAGGGTCGATCGGCACTATGTACGCACTTTAGATGTGTTTTAAGTTGACTCTTCGTTTTCCATGTTAATAAGGAATGATCAAACGAAAAGGGGCGAGAACCATCGTGCACAACTAGTACATGCCTTTTTAAATTACCCTTTAATTTGAATTTTCTTCCACATTGATCGCATGAGAATGGTCGAATTTCCCTGTGGACGCACCGGGCATGGACCCGCAGTGCAGAACTAAATTTAAATGTTTTCGAGCATTGACCACACGGGAAGGGTCGTTCATTATTGTGGACGCTCTCTTTGTGTATTTGTAAGTCTTTTTTCAATTCAAATTTACGGGAACACTGAGTGCACGCGAAGTTCGGATCGTTGCTGTGGATGTGAGAATTGTCCTTGTATAAAATATCCTTCTCTTTAAAAGTAGAGGGACACTGGTTACGTAAGAACATGTGCTGCTCGTTGTTGTGCAAGATTCTAAGATGCTCTTTGGGAGAGTTGATGGAATTAAAAGTCTCCGACCGCATATCACAGGAGAATGTTTCATCTTTGTTATGTCCATCTTTTACATGCCCCCGAAGAGATGACGAATTCGTATTATTGGGAGGATTGAGACTGTTCCTTGAGGCAGATTTATTTGTAGTTTTAAGATGAAGCTTGTTTGTATCCTTGTTTGAAGTGACGGTATCTACGGCCTTCATTTTGGACACTTTTTGTTCTTTTTGTAACGACAATTCTGGGACGCTTACAGACATTCTGCCTGTATTTTTGTTGTCAATTCCGTCGTTTTCTGGGATATGATTGTGGACGGATCCATGATCTACACCTGATCCTCCCTGAAACAAAACAATACGCGGCTGTTATATATTGCCTGGTAAACCTCAGCGGCACAACATGTTGTGTAGGCGTCACTCTTTACAAAAAACATACCCAAGGAAAATTAGCTTCAGCCATCGATGTTTTTATGTTCTTGTTTAAATTACCGGTAGGAGGAATGGAAAAATCTAAATGGCGAAAGCTCTCAAAAGGAGCAAGGATTTGAAGTAGGGTACATCTTTTTGAAATATACCCGATATTTTTCTTTTTCAAACAGTAACAGTTTCGGTTCAGCGAGATTTTTCGCATCCGAAGTCAATCATTTATTATTGATTTATCTTAGACAGAAGACCGGAGGACGGAAATTAAACAATACAAATTTGAAAGTTTTATTTTATTGTTACGTTTAAAGCATGAATTTTGGTTACATACTGTTTATAATCTTAATGCACCAGGAAGACTGGAGTAATCAAATTTTCCTTTGAAAAAAAAAAGAATATTTTATTTTTCGAGTAAATTTTACGCGGAACCCAATGAAACAACTTTTAAAATCTCCTAGTTTTGTATAAACGGTGTTATGAGCTTTTAAAGTTTCCAAGTTTGGTCCGAGCTTTCCCATTGACTCGATCCATTGTGCAACACTCAAACCCACAGGTGATAAGCCGCGAGACCAAATTCGCACAACCCACGCTCTGTGAGAAGGCGGCTTGATTTTCGTCGTTTTCGAACCGGACACGCGCCTGAAAGGCTGAAGAGAGCGCGCAGATGTATAAGGTGTGTAGTCTATCTCACCATTGGTGGCATTGCCAAGTAAAGTGGCACTTACAAAGTGTCACAGCGTGAACGAGAGCATTTTTTTCGTAGGAAACTATGCTTCAGTTTCAGGACGTAATTATGGAAGGATGGCTCGAAACTGCGTGTGAAATGTTCATTTTCGGGTCCCAAAATTGGATTTGGATCTAGAGGGCCATCGACCAAACTCTGAGGCAAAGATGAGTCTATCGCGTGAAAATAGAGACACTTCAGGACACACTTTTTTCTTTCTCGAATTTCTCAAAATATAATCTCCATTTTCTGTATGGTACCACAATATTGTTTAAAAACACAAAGACAATTTTTGGTAAGACCACACTCACTTGCGTAAAAAATTGAAACGTGTCCCGTTATTTTAAAAACAATTTTTTACGCAAGTGAGTGTGATTTTACCAAAAATTATCTTTGTGTTTTTAAGGAACTTTAACTTGTGTAGGCCCCTAACGGTATTAAAAAAAAAAAAAACACACAATATTGGTTCGGATTGGCGGGGTAACTAAAGCGTAAAGCGGCTAAGTGTTAAGGGTCGCGGGGATCTCAAGGCACTTCAAGTGGAAATCGTGCTCTTTAAGTAAGAATATCACATGATTGTGTAAACGTGTATCAATAGACGTTTGCAAGTCCGTTCGTTTTACCATTTATGTCCCAGAAATCCTCATCTTAAGTAGGGTGTCTACTAAAACTGGCTGGCAAAAAGTAAGTAATTTTACAGTACTTCTTCGGTGCCTTTCAAAAATTTCAGTACCTCATAGGCAGAAAAAATGCAGTACTTGTTCGGTATCTTCGAGTTAATTGTTGATTTGAGTTCCTATTATTTAATTATCTCTCTTACCACTTGTTTACTTTTAATTCATCCATAAAAACTATCGATTAGCTACATACGATCCTAGCTTGAACACACTCAAACCATGCGGTCAAAACTGCAATGGCGGAAAAGGAAAACCGAAAAGGCCAGCGTGGAGGCTACTTCAATACTGCCTTTCTAAGGAAGAACGCCATATGAACATTCGAGAGTTGCCAAATTTCCTTGGATAAAATGTGTATTTTTGCGGAAAGTTATGAATATTTTTCCTTGAAATTTTCAGGAACTCCAGGCGAAATTACGAAAAAAAATTGGAGGAAAAAAATTCATAAGTTTACCAGGGGATTCTTGTTTTATCAAAGGAAAGTTGGCAACGCCTGAAGGTTCATGCGACGGTTTTCCTTAGCACGGCAGAATAATAATCTCCCATCGCACTGCTAAGGCGCAACGATACGACTATTCTTACTCTGCGGAATGCGTGAGGTATCACGCCACAATTGAAGGCGTTTTCGAAACTGCCAACTTTCGAAAACGGGATTCTCGTGCCGCAAAAAATGGTGGAATGACTGATCTCACGAGTTAGTGCAACAGTTATGCGCACATCTCCTTGTTTTCATTTTGTTTGTAGCTTCCGTTCCAGTTGATAATGAGTGCGTAATTTCCTCGGATGTGATTTTGTTCTAGTTAAGCTTTCCACACACATTTACGACCTGACTGGATAGAAATTCTTCCCAGCAGGCCGATCAATGAAAGTTTAAAGCAGCCAAATAAGATATCGATATGCGCCATATTGCATGGTCGGAGTGGATGATTGTCTTGTCTTATTGGTGCGTATAGTTTTTTTTATTTTGCTGGTGAAAGTGTAGAGCTAGGAACTTTCTGCACTTCGGATTCAGACAAAAATTTCTTCGGATCCTTGACTTCGAGACTTAGAGGTTTCAAGAATTCAGTGGCGTGGCGTGCTTTGCGATATATCGATTGATACGCCATTCAAACCTATGGAAAAGGATCGATAAGCAGGGCGTTCGCAATTAACACCTTAGTGATCGATTCTTTACCATAGCTTCAAATGGCGATATATCGATAATCGATCCTTCACGCCACGCCACTGCAAGAATTTTTTACCAGGCTCATCCCCTAACTTTTCCCTGATCTCCCCTGATTTTTAGGAGCTCGTTCCCTGACGAGAGACCGAAAATTTCCCCCACTGCCCCGGGATTTTCTGGGGGAAAAGAATTAAATTCTCCAGAGTTCCAGATTTGAATATAAATTTTAATTAATCTTTCAGCTATTTCTCTGGCGCGCATTCAAAATTGTAATTCCAAAAGCGTTCCTGATGTTTATTTTATATAGTCAATGACAGCTTCTCCATTATTTTAATGATTTGAAGCTTCAAATGTGGCAATCAAGAAGTCAATAATAGCGGCTGAGGCGCAGTAACATTCGCTTTCATAACAATAAGTACTTAAAATTTCCTTACGCCTTGGCCCTCTTAGAACTGCAAAAAGTATCATATGCCCCCCCCCCAAAAAAATAAAAATTTTCCAGATGTTTTGAATGCAACAATTCGCAAGTATTTTGTGCTGATAGTAGAAGGAAAAAGAGAACATAATTATTCCGCAGAAATTGATGGAATCATTCTTTATGGAAGCTTCAAAATGCGTCCGATTAGTCGTATAAATTCTAAAATTTCTCGAGGGATGCCCCTCGGACCCCCCCCCCGCCGCCGTGCTTTGGGCTCGGACCATAAAACTGGTACCAGGGCTCGAGAAGGGATGTGGCGAGCCTGCATGAAGGCTAGTTCTATTTAAATCTTCCGTCACATTCATACGGCGCAATGATACAACTATTTGAACTCTCCGGAATGCGTGAGGTATCACGCCGCATTTGAAGGCGTTTTCAAAACAGCCAAGCTCCGATACCCGGATTATCGTTTTGCATAGTTCATATTCTTTTATTAAATTCCGTACCACTCGTTTATTTTTAATCCTCGCAGCAAAACCACCCACTTGTAAATACAATTCTAGCTGAAGCGCACTTCAGCTATGCATTCACCACTGCGAAAATTTCTCAGGAAATCGACAAGCCCAGCGTGCATGGAGGCTATCTCCATTTAAATCTTCCGTAACATTCTTACGGCGTAATGATACAACTATTTGAACTCTCCGGAATGCGTAAGGTATCACGCCGCATTTGAAGAGGTTTTCAAAACAGCCAAGTTCCGTTATCGGAATAATCGTTTTGCATAGTTCATATTATTTTGTTTCAATTTCTAACCACTTGTATAATTATAATCCTCCTATAAAAACCACCCATTCGCTAAATACAATTCTAGCTGAAGCGCACTTCAGCTATGCATTCACCACTGCAAAAGCGGGAGATTGCGATGGACAAACGAGGAATAGGTAATAGACTGATTAACGGCAACCCACGGGAGACCCGATAGTTAGTCCATCATTTCCCCCCTTAGTCTATAGGAACCACCCATTACAACCAATAGGATAGCTTCATACTTCCTACGTCTCCTTCGTCTATCAATTTGAATAATCATCCTGCAGGGCACATTTTTCGGTCCGTTTATTTTTGTAAAAAGAAATCGACAGTTTGGAATTCGAGTTTTTGATTGGAAAGTGACTACTGCATCCCAAAGAGTAAGTTATGAGCGGTCGAGAGTAATTTTAAGCTGTCCAAGAGTGGGAAAATGAACTAGAGGTCGACAGTTTCGAAAATCGAAAATGGAAAGTTGAAACTCAAAGAGACCCTTTTCATCAAAACTCCATGTTTGGGTTTCAAACTGGAAACCATCGAAACTAAAGTTTGGCCTGAAATGTTTTGTTTGTGAAACAACCCTGAGGAGATGTCCCAAAATCTCAACTTCGAAATTCTCGCTCTCGTCCCATGGACGGTCACGTATATCATTGTCTCTCGGACAAAAGAACGAAAATGTACTTCGAAGTTGTCGAATTCACTCGAAAATCGAATAATTAAAAGAAAAATATCGAGCGTTTGGAGCTAAAAATCTCACTGATTCAGCCTCTGATAGGGTTCAAAAATCATCTACATTCCGGACAAAAATTATTTGGCTTATATTCTTTTGAAAGAGTTAGCTGCGGGCCGATTATTGAAATTGATAGACAAAGCGATAGACAAAAAAGACATAGGGGGTATAAAGCAATCCTATTGGTTGAAATAGGTGGTTCTCATAGACTAGGGGGAAAATGATAGACTAACTGTAGGATCTCTCGTGGGTTGCCGTTAGTTAGTCTATTACCTACCTCCTATGTCCATTCCCACCACCTGCTTCCACCAATAGGATCCCTCCAAATCCCTTTTGTCGTCTTTGTCTATAGCTTTGTCTATAAGTTTCAATAATCGGCCCGCTGCTAGAGTTACTTTTGTGACCTTGGAGTGAAGTTACGTTCCTTTATCTATAAAACGACGATAAAGGAAGGAAACAGTGGCGTGGCGTGAATTGCAATATATCGATTGTAATGCCGTTTAGACCTATGGAAAAGGATCGATAAACAGGGTGTTCGACTGTTCGCAGCGAACACCTTAATAATCGATTCTTTACCATAGGTTTGAATGGCATAACAATCGATAAATCGCAATTCACGCCACGCCACTGGAAGGAAATTATGCGAGATCCTACCTCCGTTTTCAGCTGGAAAGAGGATGAACTCGAGGCAGAGTCCGACGGTTTTGAATGGTAACGCACCAATATTGGATCGAGTCTTTCCAACAGGACAACCGGATTTTTCCGCATGTTCGAATTTCGATCGCTGATTTCTCTATGAGTATCTGAAACGTAAGAAAGAAAGAAAAATTGACAGGTTAATATGGCACAACAAAAGTATAACTGGATTGCATTTTGCAAAAAGGAACCACTAGCATTGCAATGTTGCTAAGATTGTGCAACTTCTTTTGTCTTGGAGGAAAACCCCGATTATCCATTAATAGTTTGTGCTTTACTCGCTAAAAACTGTAAATTTAAGACAAAAATTACCATCTAAATTCCATAGTTTTTCACGATTTCCGCAATTTTATTGCAAAAGATGAAGTTGCACAATATTAGCATCATTGCAATGCTAGTGGTCCCTTTTTGCAAAATGCAATCCAACTGAGATGTTGCAAGTGTACGGAATTTGCGATTTGACCGTTGATTCTTGTGTAAAAGTTCGCGAGAAACACGATGGTGCCACTGGTTTTCTCTGAAATCAACTCCCAAGCTCAAAAAAAGCTCTCAAATTGAGGCCAAAATGGAGGGGATACCCCACGCTATCCTGAGAGTCCACCTCTACATCAAAACAAGCTCTCCATGCAAAGCTGGGGAGCAAATACATTTACAGGGCTGCCACTTTCTTTGGGGACTCTAAAACTGAAATCACGGCAACCCTGTCAATGTATTTGCTCCCTATCTTTGCATGGAGAGATTGTCTTGATGTAGAGGTGGACTCTCAGGATAGCGTGGGGTATCCCCTCCATTTTGGCCTCGACTTGAGAGCTTTTTTTGAGCTTGGGAGTTGATTTCAGAGAAAACCAGTGGCACCATCATGTTTCTCGCGAACTGTTGCATAAGAATCAATAGTCAAATCGCAAATTCCTTACACATGCAACATCTCCATTGATTTTTCTAAACCGATTCAAATCAGTGGCATGGCGTGATTTGCGATAAATCGATGGATCTGCCATATGAACCCATTATGAAGGCCGATCGATGAACAGGATGTTCGCGACGAGAACCTTAAAAATCGATTCTTAGCCGATTTTCAAATAGGCAAATATCGATAATAATCGATCATTCACGCCTCGCCACTAACACTGCTAAAAATAACTGAAACACCACAACATATGTTCCCTTAAAAAATATCTCACTAAGAACTTGTTAAAATTTCAGAGATCAACTCATTAGAATAAGTAAAGCATCTGTTAAAAAAGTGCGGCAACCAGGGGAACTGAGGGATTTTTTCAAACGAGACCTGAATGAAACTTCATGATGAAGCAAGCATTCAGTGAAAGGTTTAGATCACATTCAAAGCTCGTTTTGTCGGCGATGCGTTGCAAAGGTTACATTTTCACCATTGAAAAATGCTATTATTTTGAAGTTCCTCGATTTGAAAATCAAAAGTTGATCAATTTCTATTTGCGGAGGCACAATAACATCACCGGATGCGGGATGCTACTCTGCCTCAGAAAATAAAAAAGGATCGACGGAATGTGATTTTTCAACCGAGGAGCTTCCAAATACTGGCATTTTTTAATCGTGAAAATGTAAACTTTGCAACCCTGTATTGCCGCAACGAGCTTTGAACGCAAGCTCAAACTCTCACTGGATGATTGTCTCGTCATTAAATTTCTTTTCGGTCACATTTGAACGAAATCCCTGAGTTCCGTCAAAATGGGGTGCAAAAAGGCCTTTTTTTCTTGACAAAACTTCTGTGCTCCCCCTCCCCCCCATTCTTCCATGCCCTTCTTCCGCGGTATGGTAAAAGTTTAGGGTGGCTAGCGGAATTTCATTTCATCATTCCCTGACTTTTCCCAACTTCTTGAAATGAAATCCCCTGACTTCTTTACGATGATGTAAAGGCCTCAATTAATGCAGTGGCGCACAATGGATCGAGTGAATGGGAGAGGTCGGACAAAATTCGGAAACTTTAAACGCTTATAACTCCGTTAATACAAAAATTTGAGGTTCTAAAAGTGGTTCCATTGGCTCCCCCGTACAATTTTCTTTTTCAAGCACACCTTAAAATTTAAAATGTGACAAAATAAACATGAAAACATACAGCTTTAATCAAAAATTTCATGTCCGACCACTTAAATAGACTCGATCCACTGTGTGGCGTGGCGCGAATGATCGACCATCGATATCTCGCCATTTGAAGCTATGGTAAAGAATCGATCATTAGGGTGTTCGCTGCGAACACCCTAATGCTCGATTTTTTTCATAGGTTTGAGTAGCGTATCGATCGATATATCGCAAAGCACGCCACGCCACCGAAGTAACAACGCGATAAGTTGGCCCGTCGCGGTCCCGATTTTTACGTGGAATCCGGCTCAAAAAAATTCCCTGATCGTAGATGAAATTCCCTGAATTTTCCCGATCGAGTTGCATTCCCTGACTTTTCTCCGTATTTTCGGTCGCTAGCCACCCTTTAAAAACTCCGTATGGGCCTCCAGGCGTTGCCAAATCTCCTTTGATGAAAAATAATTTGCAGGGAAACTTGAGTATGTTTTTCTTCTACTTTTTCAGGGAATTTCGTCCGCGAGTCAATTTACAGAATCTGAGAATTTCAAGGAATAATGGTCATACATTTTCTTAGAAAATAATATTTCATGTGGGGAAATTTGGCAACATCCGAGTACTCATACGCCGTTTTTCTTGGCGCGGCATCTTGTACGCGTAGAACCAACTTTTCGTCGAATTCTAGAGTCCCTTTATACTGAGAGTCAAGACAAAGTGAATCCATTTCTGATTGGTTCCCGTATTTTAGGCCTTCACCGTGTCACAAACGAGAATGAAGATTACATTTTCACCGATTGCAAAGATTATAATCTGGAATGGACCAGGGAATTACGGGTTCGGCAAGGAACAAACGGAATAAGAGAAAGAAGGGAGAAAGGAATTTGAGAATGGCCCGATCAAAGATTACAAAAAACCTTCAATTTCTGTAATCTTTATTCCCGTAGGTGACTCCATGAGGGGGTGTTGTCTTGACTCTCAGTATAAAGGGCAGGGCCGGATTTACGTTTTTGGCGCCCTGTGCAGAAATTTTGAGGCGCCCTCTCGCACGTCCTCCCCTCCCCCGCCCGCGCATTTCCCAACCCGACGGTCATCTTTGGTTACTACGTGCTACCTTTAACTAAATACGAATTTTTTTCGAGTGAGTGAATGATTCTGGGGCAGAAACCAAAACCAGGTACCCGTTCCTGTTACTGTTAACTACGAAACTAAGAGAAAGTTTGACCCTTAAAGTCTAGGGTCATGTCATTTAAAAGATGGAACGCAATGAATTCATGGTTCCCCGCTGTAATTTTGGAGAGTTTGGGAAAAAAAACCAAAATTTGGCGCCCCTCAAAATCTGGCGCCCTGTGCAGCTGCACCGATGCACCATACTGCCGTGCTAAGGAAGAACGCCGTATGAACATTCGAGAGTTGCCACATTTCCTACGATAAAATGTTTATTTTTGAAGATATCTACGAATATTTTTCCTTGAAATTTTCAGGAAATGTAGGTAAAATTGCGAACAAAATTATCTGAAAAATTGGAGGAAAAACGTTTACAAATATTCCCGAAAATTTGTGATTTATTTAAGGAAATTTGGCAACGCCTGAAGGCTCATACGGCGTTTTTCCTTAGCACGGCAGCATAGGTAAATCCGGCCCTGATAAAGGGACTCTATCGAATTCAAGCGTGTGACTAAAACATACTAATAAATCGAATCTTAAATTGTCGGCGACTTACCGTCTTCTTTGGATTTGCCCGTGACCGTGACAGTCTCGCCCTGACGCTCGATTTCCGGTCTGGAATCGGACGGCTCATTCGTCGAAGATCCGATGTCCGATTCTTGTTTCAGAACCAAACGAAGAATAGCGCTCTTGTTGACGAGTTCTGAAAAATATTACGAAAACCTTCAGAAAGGACCATCTACGGAGAAATGGACTTCTACATTTGAACACATTTTTCAGGAAACCTCTTTTTGTTCCCTTACGTGGATGATGGAAAATCCATTAAGTTGAATGGAGGAAAAATAGGCAGAGATCGAACACTTAATTGTACGGCATTTTTCCTTAGCCCGACAAATACGTCGTATCTGTGTAACGTTTTGCGATGATGAGAAACTCTTATTTTTGTTTCATCACAGAATAAACGTATTCAGGGTGTCCAGTTTTTTTGTTTTGATTTTGGAAAATCCTGATGAAATCCCGATTTTGGATTGCTAAATCCGGATCTCATAATTTTTCCAAATCCTGATTTTTGGCGGAGAAAAATAAAAATTTCTGCATGAGCATAGAAAAAAGCAGAACTCGAATTAAAAGCTCGATAAGAAAATCCGATCGGACGGCCGACTTTTCTCAAATCCCGATTTTACGACCGATTTTTCCTCAATTCCTGATTGACCTTAAATCCTGCTAGAAACGGGAAAAACTCTGATGCTAGACACCCTGGTATTTGTCGTAAACCTTTGCAAGTGAGCGCTTCTATAAATGAGTCAGAAATAATGTTCCCATTGCAAAATGAGGTCAACCTGTAAAATAACTTTTTCAGTGCATCAGTCCCTTCATATCATATATTGATAGCTTTTCCTTCATGCTTTGGATTTCAAATTTTTGACTTAGTTTTGGGACGACCTTTAGATGCGTTGCAGCGGCACTATCACCAGAAACGATGAAAAAAGCTTGAAATGTTGCTGTTGTGCGCCTTTTTTTAAAAACAGCTCAACTTGGAAAGAAAGGCAACTCCGTTCAACTGCAGAATTGGGTTAGGTTAGGGTTAAACGCACCTATTCTTTCTAAAATATTTATTTAGTCATTTTTTTTTATTACAATTTTTACAATTTTACAATTATTACAATTGAAAAAATAAGTGGAAATTTTGTTTCTTCTGTAAAAACTCAAATCAAAGGTTAAGAACGTGTTTATTCCGCCATTAAAGGACCGAAAACAGTCGGATTTTTCGTCACGAATTTTTTTGAGAACTCCATAGCATGCGATAAAAACATTTTTGATCCACGGAAAATTTTGAGCAGAATTCAGTTTAATTCGTTCACGGAAAAAATAGGGTAGTCGACACAACCAGCGGTTAGTTAAAAATGCGCCAGCTACCGTGCGGTAGTTAAGATGACTACCGCGGTGGAGGTCACAACTAACTCAGTAGTTACATCAGCATCCATGGTTGTTGATGTGACTACCGGGTTAGTTGTGACCTCCACCGCGGTAGTTATCGTGACTACCGCACGGTAGCTGACGCATTTTTAACTAGCCGCTGGTTGTGTCGACTACCCTATTTTTCCCGTGTTTTCTGGATTTTTTTTTTTTTTTCTTTCATAACCGGACTTGGGTACTTTATGAAACAAACGATTCGGTTACCTGATTTCGGATTTCCATCTTCCTCTGCTTCCTCTATTTTTATACGCGACAGCAGTGACGAAGTCACGTATTTCCTTTCGAGAGGAGCAGATTCTCCTGGGTTGTCCCTGAAATCGGCGTCAGGTTCTTCTTCATAATCAACATGCGGTCCTTGAAAAGGTACCGGTGAGTTTTGCAGGTCGCTAGTGTGGTAGGTTCCATTCTTGAACGATGTGAGATCGAGTTTCTCCAGGAACACAACTGGTTGCTTTTGACGAAATTCGGATTTGACATGGAGCTTGGTACCTTGTCCGAGATCTGCAACACCAGCAATGTGATTCGTTTTAAAAGAATGCTTTATTCGGCTTCAGACCTCTCGTTAGTTTACGATAGGACTGCATTTTGCAATTTGGAGCTATAAATTTTGGCTCTTCTGGAAAAACACTTATGTGCACAGGGAAATTAATGGAACATGCGTTGTTTTTGAACCAGGCTGGAATTTATAGTTCCAAATTGCAAAATGAAGTCCAATAAATGGACAGCGTTAAACAGAAAGGAACCGAGCCACATCGGCTATTGCCAAATTTAATTGAGCTATTTAATTTTTTACGTGAAGACGGTTGTGGGGGTTTCCTTGCAAATTTCAGTGAATTTTCTCCATAGTGCGAAGCAAATTCCTAAACATTTTCAAAGGAATCCGCACAACCGTTCTGTCTCGAAAAATTAAATTACCCAGTTAAATTTGGCAACAGCTGACGTGACTTACCTCCTTTCTACTGAACGCGGTCCAAATGAAACTCGTAAAATAAATACACTTCGGTTGTGCGGGTCAAAACCATTTACTTCGATTGCTGAGACTCATGTTGACTCCTTTTTAGGAAGGCTTTTCTTTTGTAGAAAAACGAGTGAATGTTCTATCCTACATTCACACCGAAAATAAACATCGGAATTGCGTGTTAAAAATTCATGTAAACTTGACTTACTAACTGCAATTATGTACGCACATAAGAGCCGCTTTCTTAGCATTCCTTGCAAACCTGACCTGCAATTATGTCAAAATGTATAATTTATACTATTACGACATGTTATTTCTTTGCCAAATTTACTATTTCACTTTATTTTACTTTTATTTCGTTCTTGTTACTCTCTACTCGTCTATATTACTTTTATTTCTGTAATTTAATATTCTTCAGTTCTTAAAAAACAACTATTTTCACATACCAACTCCACAAGGGCATAATCTATGTTGTTAATGTGTATAAGTAACGAGAGGGCTCTGCCCCCTGGCCGCTGCGTGGCCTAACCCCTGGGCCCGAAGGCCACTTCGGTGCCAGTGAAATCGTCGAAATCGCCCGTTGGCGGCCAATGAGCCAATAATTTAAATTGAATAACAAAACGTTGTTTCAAAGAAAAATTTTCCGCCAAACAGCATTCTTAATGATTTTCTCCTTACTCTCAATTTTGTTTCCTTTTTTGGAAGTCGACCTTGACAGGGCCACATATAGCTGTCCATGACTAAAAAAAGGCCCCTGAAAATAACCTACTCTGTTGAAACTCTGATCTTTGAACTCCCTTCCTCCCTCCTGCCCATCGACTGTCTTACTCTCCTTCCTCACCCCATCCATCGAGCGTCTTAAAATGCTTTTATTAGAATAGAGAGGATTTTTAATAGGCTCACTGACAATATCTAAATGACTCGATAAGGTCTGATGTAAGCAACTATAGACCGCCTTCGGTAATGGTTTGATGTATCGTTTGGTTCAAAACAATAGAACATAACCCCAACCAAAACTATTAGGATTTAAGTTGGAAAAGCTGAAAATGAGAAAATTCCTAACATTCACTTTGCATTGGCATTTGGTGCTCAAAAGAATAAAACAAAATCTGTTACAATAGACCCGCTCCCTCTGATTTCTGAATTGACGTTTGAGGCTATGTTTATGTTTTGAACCGATCGATATCGATACAATTTCACCCGTTGGATGTATCGAATATGATCTATTATACCGTTAAGTCCACAGCAGGTGATCATCACCCTTACAAAAAAAAACAACTGACTGGAGTAAAACTGAATGCGACTTAAGCTCGCTTTCCCGGAAAGACTTATCGTATTGTAGGGACTCGTTCTTTTTATTCTTTCTTTTTTACAGAAATCTTCGTTAAAATTGAGAATTTAGACAAATAACGAGGGAGAAAAAAGAACGCAAGGATGCCATTGGCGGATACAGCAAATTGGCAATATTTTCTTTCCTCCATTTAAACCTATGAAATGTATCGATTCTTGGAGGGGCCAGGTGCTCCGACAAAAATCGATTATTTAGCATAGGTTTAAGGTGATTGGATGGACGCCATATTTTGTGTCAGAACGGCATGCGATATATCGCACCAATTGGTTCCATTTTTTCAGCTACTCGTCATTTCTCTCCAATTTTGAGATCGCAATTCTGTTGTCAGGAGACTAAAGCACTCACTGACCAATTTTAATAAAGAAATTCAACGTAATAAAGGCGTGGTTTTTTCAGAGAGAAAACATCGCATTCGATACTGATATCGAAACTGCACTCGAATGCGATATTTTCTCTCTGAAAAAACCACGCCTTTATTACGTTGAATTTCTTTGTTAAAATTGGTCAGTGAGTGCTTTAGTCTCCTGACAACAGAATTGCGATCTCAAAATTGGAGAGAAATGACGAGTAGCTGAAAAAATGGAACCAATCGATGCGATATATCGCATGCCGTTCTGACACAAAATATGGCGTCCATCGAATCACCTGAAGTGGAGAAAATCCGGTGTTGCCAAATTGTTGGATCCGCCTCTGATGGAAAATGGAACTCTACCTGTTCGATATCCTCCATATTCCGTGGATTCGTCCGACATGACCTCTTGTTTGAGCTGGACATCGGGCACCCACTCTGAAGGACCTTCCATTGTTTCTTGCCCTGAATGGCAATCTCAGCCCAGATTCAATCGACTCATATGGAGTGCCGAAAACTTTCCAGCTTCTGAAACACCAAAAGATATTCATAAATATCATTTCAAAACGGAACATACGTTTCCAACATAGAAATACACCAGTCAAAAATATACCTAAGAAAAAATAAAACACTAAGAAGTAGCCCGAAACTGTACGTAACAAGATGGAGATATGGTGCTGGGTCCACACCATTTCGCGGGGAAAACAAAGCCAAGAAGTTCCAAAAATTATAATTAGAGTCAAAATTAAACTATTAAAATTACTAAAACTACTAAAATTAAACTAAAATAAATACTAAAATTAAACTATAGATAATTCTAAATCTCTTATCTATTGAAGTATTAAAGGTTACATTAATTTATCTGATTGGGTGGTTTAGGATCATGAGTTGGACTATTAATACATACATAAAGTCGCTTTTAAAGCGCCGCCTCGCGCTCTGCGACGCCCAATCGCCATTGACCCCTATCCTCCCAGAGATCATCAGGCAATTGGCACCTTCTGATCTCCTCCTCCACCCCTTGTCGCCAACCTTTCACAGGACGTCCACGCCGTCGCCTTCCGGGAGGAACCCAATCGAAGACCTGCTTGGGCAAC